TAGTGAGTTGGAAGCAATTAAGTAGCAGGCTGTTTATAATCTGGAGGTGTAGTAGCCTCTTGTAGCCTCATAGGTCATGTATCTGCAGCACTTTCTATATAAATTATGTATATAGCTTGCAGTTCCTGTAAAAATGCTAGATCATGATTTACTGTACTGCACTGTAAGATAACGATGCACTACACTTGATAACAATGTATGCACTGTTAGATAACGATGAAACATAGCATACTAGTCCAATTGCGACTACTTTGAATGGGCTCGATTTTATCAACGAGGACCATGTACTGGTTTAAACATTAATTCCTATTTTTCACATGTTAGTCATTCTTGCAAGTTTATTTAGAGAGGTAGTAAAACAGGTGAATAGGTCAGTACAACCGAACCAGCTAAGCTGTTTAGCTCCAAATATTTTGTGGAACTGATCAGATATCATATCTCGATACATGGACTTCAGAGAAAAATGATACTCAGGACCTTCAGCTGGCGGAGGCCTTGAACTACAGCGGGTGGAGTCTGTGATCTGTGGCGTCCAGCATAGAACAAAGACGGTAGAGGGCCTTTTTTCAAGTGGGGAAAGATGGCGCAGAAACGACTCTAACAACAATGAAGCATCTGGCTTCACGCTTGGAGAACCGGGGACGCTTGCGCGCCTTCTTGAGACCTGCCTTCTTCCTTTCGACGACACGGGTGTCTCTCGTCAGCAAGCCTTCTGACCTCAGAGGGACTCTGTTAGCGGGGCTGATCTTCAGCAGCGCATGCAACACGCCGAGGCAGATCGCCTGGGCCCGGCCAGAACAGAGCTCCGCCGGCCACCCGGCCACGGGCTCGAAGTCGGGAATCGGGGCCGGTCGCGCCACTCACTTAGGAGAGGCGAGGAGGAGGGGGCTGATCTTCAGCAGCGCACGCAACACGCCGAGGAAGATCGCCTGGGCCCGGCCAGAACGGAGCTCCGCCGGCCACCCGGCCACGGGCTCGGAGTCGGGAATCGGGGACGGCCGCGCCACTCGCTCAGGAGAGGCGAGGAGCAGGAGGAGGAGGGGGAGGGGGCGTACGAGCAAGAAGTCATTGGAGTAACAGTCGGGGATCTTGGGCGCGTCGTCGTCCTGGATCTTGTGAGCGCCGCCAGCACAAGCAGCAGCGCCGCCGTTATCGCCCGTGCGCCCCGGCGTCCATCGCCGCGCCTAGGTTGGGGCCTAGGTTGCCAGGAGGGAGGCAGGCGGGTGGAGGGATCGGCCGCGAGTAGCTTGGTCGACGGCGGAAGTGGCCGGCGGAACGGGGCTCTTATTTAATCTTTTAATAAAAACGACGAGTGCAATGAAAATAAAAGCATTAGTACAACTGCTCGACTTCATCGGTTCAACAAAAGGTAACAGAATAGTATTCTGTTACGCGTAACAGAATAGCCCATGTGTGTGTATGTATATAGAGAGAAGTGCATATGACACCCCCCAACTCTAGCCCTAGTCTAATATACACCCCCCAACTCCAATACCGTCTAATATACACCCCCAACTCTCAAAACTGGCCATAATTCAACTCTTCCTTCCCTGTTGACCGGTTTTGACCCAGTTTAACCAGTTTTGATTGAGTGAACAGTAAAAATAAAATTTTAAAAACCATAAATATTTTTTTTGAAAAATTTCAAAAATGTTCCAAGTTTTTTTTCACCGCGTGAACAGTAAATGAAAAAAAAATCACCTTTTCAGCATGTTTGGACACCTGAGTAAATTCAAGATGTCTGTAAATTCGATTTTTTTTTCAAAATTTCAGCTTGGTGAACAGTAAAATTGTTTTTTTTTAAAACCCTTTTTTGCATGGATGATGTTTGAGCGCGTGGTGATTTTTTTTTGATTTTTTTCCCGAATTACTGTTCACCATGCTGAAAATTTTGAATATTTTTTGAATTTACGGACATCTCAAATTTACTCAGGTATCCAAACATGCTGAAAAGGTGATTTTTTTGAATTTACTGTTCACGCGGTGCAAAAACTTGGAACTTTTTGAATTTTGTCAAAAAAATATTTTTCTTCTTTTTCTTCTTTTTAAATTTTTTATTTTTTACTGTTCACTCAGTCAAAACCGGTCAAACTGGGTCAAAACCGGTCAACAGGGAGGGGAGAGTTGAATTCTAGCCGGTTTTGAGAGTTGGGGGGGTGTATTTTAGACGGTATTGGAGTTGAGGGGTGTATATTAGACTAGGGCTAGAGTTGGGGGGTGTAATATGCACTCATGTCCGTATTTTATTTTTATCAACACCTCTATCTCTAAACACGTGGACATATTTTTTAATTTTGGCTTTCGCTTGAGGACAAGTGAGGTCTAAGCTTGGGGGAGTTGATACGTCCATTTTGCATCATGCTTTTATATTGATATTTATTGCATTATGGGCTGTTATTACACATTATGTCACAATACTTATGGCTATTCTCTCTTATTTTACAAGGTTTACATGAAGAGGGAGAATGCCGGCAGCTGGGGTTCTTGGCTGGAAAAGGAGCAAATATTAGAGACCCATTCTGCATAGCTCCAAAAGTCCTGAAACTTCACGGAAGTTATTTTCATAATATATATAAAATACTGAGCGCAAGAAGTACCAGAGGGGGCCACCCACCAGCCACGAGGGTGGGGGGCGCGCCCCCTACCTCGTGGGCACCCTGGTGGCCCTCTGATACCCATCTTCTGCTATATGGAGTCTTTCGTCGAGGAAAAAATCATAAGCAAGCTTTCGGGACGAGACTCCGCCACCACGAGGCGGAACCAATCTAGGGCTCCGGCAGAGCTGTTCTGCCGGGGACACTTCCCTTCGGGAGGGGGAAATCATCACCATCGTCATCACTAATGATCCTCTCATCGGGAGGGGGTCAATCTCCATTAACATCTTCACCAGCACCATCTCATCTCAAACCCTAGTTCTTCTCTTGTATTCAATCTTTGTATCCAAACCTCAGATTGGTACCTGTGGGTTGCTAGTAGTGTTGATTACTCCTTGTAGTTGATGCTAGTTGGTTTACTTGGTGGAAGATCATATGTTCAAATCCATTATGCATATTAATACCCCTCTGATTATGAACATGAATATGCTTTGTGAGTAGTTACGTTTGTTCCTGAGGACATGGAAGAAGTCTTGTTATAAGTAGTCATGTGAATTTTGTATTCGTTTGATATTTTGATGAGATGTATGTTGTCATCCCTCTAGTGGTGTTATGTGAACGTCGACTACATGACACTTCACCATTGTTTGGGCCTAGAGGGAGGCATTGGGAAGTAATAAGTAGATGATGGGTTGCTAGAGTGACAGAAGTTTAAACCCTAGTTTATGCGTTGCTTCGTAAGGGGCTGATTTGGATCCATATGTTTCACGCCATGGTTAGGTTTACCTTAATACTTCTGTTGTAGTTGCGTACGTTTGCAATGGGGGTTAATCATAAGTGGGATGTTTGTCCAAGTAAGGACAACACCCAATCACCGGTCCACCCACATATCAAATCATCAAGGTACCGAACGCGAATCATATGAACGTGATGAAAACTAGCTTGACGATAATTCCCATGTATCCTCGGGAGCGCTTTCCTTCATATAAGAGTTTGTCCAGCCTTGTCCTTTGCTACAAAAAGGATTGGGCCATCTTGCTGCACTTTATTTACACTTGTTACTTGTTACTCGTTACCAATTACCTTATCACAAAACTATCTGTTACCTATAATTTCAGTGCTTGAAAAGAATACATTGCTGAAAACCGCTTATCATTTCCTTCTGCTCCTTGTTGGGTTTGATACTCTTACTTATCGAAAGGACTACGATAGATCTCCTATACTTGTGAGACATCATTACCACGCGCTAAGTACAACTTGTCAAGTAGATTTGTTGTCTTCTCCTTCCTCGTGCCTCCAACCACCTTCAAAAGGGAAAATGGATGGGTGTCGTGGCGACTACAAGGTGACATGGTCGTGGTCACGACTGCCCTATGCAACGCCCGACCTCTATTGGAAAAGGAAATGCATAGAAGGCACTTAGGAATGCTTAGTCGTTAGGCAATTACCAAACGCTTCGCCTAGGGCATAAGCAAAAATCTAGGCATGGCAAGAAAGAAATTATTCATATTGCACCGACAGACCAAATTGGCTATCTTTCAATCACAACGGTTGATAGTTTACTCATTTACAATCTCTAAATCGAAACCAATATACATATAATATCCCAAATACAACCTGGCAATCAAAATTATATGTTCGCCTAGGTTGTGCCTAGGGCATTTAAGCACCATTTAGGCGCTAGGCGAAGGTCAACCGCCTCGCTTACGCCTAGCACTTTTTCCAACCCCGGTTCGGCTACTCCTACAAGAAACGCATGTGCTCCGCCAATGACAAGTGTCTAATTTGGTGAATAATTTTGCACTCCATACTTCACATTTTTTTTGAATTTCTATGATGCATGAATGTGTTGATGATTGGTCTATTGGCGAATGTGTATGATGTACGAATGCATATTTGAATGTTTTGATGATTGTTAGTCAACTTTGAACATGCTGAAATATAAATGTCAAGATGGGTATTTTTAAAACTCGAGATGCGGGTACTATACGGATATAAATTTAGACAAAAATATTGAGACGGTTGCGGGTTTGGACACACGTTACTCATACCCATACTGCCATGTTGATGGCTATTGCAGCCGGGGCCGGTGGAACTGAGAAAATTTCCGCTTATGAAGAGTTTGAGCGTCAGTTAGGTTTCCAGCGCACACGACCGCGCCTTAGTCTATCGTCGTGTCCAAATATCGCGTAGCTTCCGGACCTGGGCCCCCAAAGTTAACCCACCTTTGGCTCCCCAGCTCTTCGTCCTGGCCGGAGTCTCGCGCCGCCGAAAACCCTCCTCCTCCCGCCGGAGCCTGCCTGCTATCTCGGGCCGAGGGAACTCTTCCTCCTCCCACCCATCCACCCGGACGCGGTTCCTCTCGCTGGTAAGGCAGCCCTAGCCGGCTAGGCCCGCGCCAAGCCGATGGACGAAACCCTAGCCGCAGAAGCCGGTGCCGCCGCCGCCGCCGCCGCCGCGACGGAGGAGAAGGCGGTCCCGGAGCGGGAGACGGAGACGCTTGAGGAGGTCATCTCGAGGCATAGGTTAGCCTCCCTGACCTTGCTCTGTTTCTTAGCGCTTTAGGCTCTATTTTAGCTGGGATGTGGATTTGTTAATCGCTAACTAGTAAGCTTGTTCGCTGGTTTTGTGCGAGATGCGCGTTGGTCTTGTTGATTTACGAGGCTGCGATGGTCCTAGCCATGCGTTTAGTGATAATTCTGGTCGTGCCTGTGAGGAAACAAAGATTAATTTTTCTCATAACTTATATTAGTTCATTAGATTTGTTGTTTAAGTTTGTCCCTGGAATAAGAGAAGCTGAGAAAGATGACACTTTCATCTTAACCACTAGTAATCTTGGGTTTTGCTTCTGAGCGAGCAAGTTCACAGTTTGCAGAGCTAGCATCTATTATGTTACTAAGGCATTTTGATTATATGTGTTTCTACACTGTTTTTTCTAGTTTTCTATCAGTGTTGCATTGAATTATCTTGGGAAGTTGAGATAACATGTGTCCCTGTTCCTAGATGGCTATAATTGCTCTTAGGCTACTTGAACTAAAACTCTCATTAACACATGAAAATAGGTCACCTGTACAACAGTGCTACTTGAACTAAAACTCTCATTAACACATGAAAATAGGTCACCTGTACAACAGTGCATATAAGTTGCACATAAGGCATGCAAGTGATGTAAGCCTGACTTTTATGTCTTTCATGTAATAATTGAAACGCTAAATTTGATCTGTTTAGCGACTGGCTACATGTTGAAGGTATCTTTTATGTCCTTCATTGATGATGATTAATGAATGATGCCTAATGCCCAATATTAGCATCCTCGTTTCACATAGTGAAGTTTTAGTTAAATATAGCCGTACAATGGAAGTTTATTCTTGTTTAGATCTATTTGTATATACGCTAATGTCATAGACCAGTGTGCCTTGCTGCTAGGGTGACTGCAACTTAGCAGTACTAACACTCGGATAATTTACTCTACACTTAGCACTTAGCAGTAGTGTTTCGAGGAGGTCATCTTGAGGCATCAGTTAGCCTCCCTGACTTTGTTCTGGTTCTAAGCGTTTAGGCATTTAGCTGACATGTGGATTTGGTTAATCTTAATTAAGCTTGCTCGTTGGCTTTGTGCGAGATGCATGCTGCTCTTGTTGAATTAGGAGGTTGCAATGGTCCGAGCCATGTGTTTAGTGATTATTATTGGTCCTGCCTGTGAGAAAACGAAGATATAATTTATCAGGGTTTTAGTTCACAACTTTGATCAGTTCATTATAAATTTGTCGTTTTTGTTTGTCCCTGGAATAAGAGAAGCTGAGAAAGATGACATTTTCATATTTACTACTATCTTGGGTTTTGCTTCTGAGCGAGCAAGTTCACAGTTCCATAGAGCATCTCATTAGGTTACCAACGCATTGTGATTATATGTGTTTCTACACTACCTTTTTGGAAACCAATACGCCCGGTTTTGCATGACCGATCAACGGTTGAGAGCCTGTCACGTGCTATGGACAGGTGCAGCATGTTGGCGCATTATCTTAACCGTACTAGTTTCCCTATCAGAGTTGCATTGAATTATCGAGCGAAGTTGAGATCACATGTTTCCCTGCACCTAGATGGCAATAATTCCTCTTACGCTACTTGAACTAAAACTCTCATTAACACATGAAAATAGGTCACCAGTACAACAGTGCAGTGCATGTAAGTTGCACATAAGGCTTGCGATGGAAGCCTGACTACTATGTCTTTCATGTAATAAATGAAACGCTATATTTTATCTGTTAAGGGCTTTTCACAGGAAACATACACCAGATACATGTTTCAGGTATCTAGGAGTTCCTTCATTGATTGATGATTAATGAATGATGCCTAGTGCCCTACTATAAGCGTTCTCATTTAATAGGGTGAAGTTTTAGTTAAATGCAGCCATACAGTGCAAGTTTCTCCCTCTTTAGGTGTATCCGGTATATGCTGCAGTATGTCATAGACCAGTGTGCCTTGCTGCTAGGGTGACTGCGACTTAACAGTAGTAACATTCGTTTCTGTACAGGACTACCCAGATTGCTTTGACAGTGGAATATTTCATGTGTTGAAATACAATAGTTAATTCTGTCCAAATTCTAAATTTGAGATAATATCATGTAAGTTATTTGCCATCAATTGTCTTATTTTAAACCAACTAATTTGAAGGATGATGGATGATTTTGTTATTAGGGTGAGCACTTGTAAGAGTTCTTGGCTTAGCTTTAGTTAATCTGTTGAAAATTGAAACATGTCAACAATGAATAAATAAATGTGATTCATTTGTTACTTTGTTTTCATTGTTAAATTGTGCTTGTGTAGCTCACGTCTCATCCTTAATTTATTTTCCTGGTATGTCTAAGAACGATTACTTTTTATATATGTAACAGGAAGGAGAAATCCAAACTCCAGGATAAGGAAACAAGTCTGAAGAAAGCAGCTGCCAAAGGCAGCAAAGCTGAGCAGAAGGCCAAGAAAAAGCAGGTCGAGGAGGAGATATCGCGCCTCTCAGCTGCATTAGAGGCGAAACATGCTGCAGAGCTTGCTACTTTTGGGTACAAACCCGCAGAAAGCTCTGAAAAGGGGAACCTTGACACATTGGTGAAGGCCATAGCTGGCTTTTCTGTTTCTAGCAATGCAGATTCTGCGAAGCCGGGGAAGGCTGCAAAACGGCGAGAGAAAAAGGCAAAGGAAGAAGCTGCTCGAGAGCAGCGAATTCAAGAAGAACAAACCAATCTTGTCAGTGATCGCATGTTAGAAGACGGGAAACTTGGAAGGAGGCTTGAGCCCTTGGGGCTGACCATTCATGAGATAAAGCCAGACGGCCATTGCTTGTACCGTGCTATCGAGAACCAGCTGTCACTCCATTCCAAGGGCACTACACAGTACAATCACCAGGAGCTACGGCAAATGACAGCCAAGTATATGAGAGAGCATGCCGCAGATTTCCTCCCATTTTTCCTATCGGAGGGCAAAGCCGAATCTGGACCAGACCCCTCGGAGAGCTTTGAAAAGTACTGCGAGGAGATGGAGTCCACCGCTGCTTGGGGTGGGCAACTCGAGCTTGGTGCTCTGACACACTGCCTAAAGAAGCACATCGTTGTATACTCTGGCTCCTTTCCGGATGTAGAAATGGGCAAAGAATACAACAAGTCAGGACCAGGAGGTGACCCCAGCATCAGGCTTTCCTACCACAGGCATGCCTATGGCCTCGGCGAGCACTACAACTCGGTGATACCCACTGAATTATCTTGAGGCAGGAAACCAAATGTACTTGGCATGTGTTTATCCATGAGAAGTCTTTCTGGTCATTCTCTGGTTGAGTGTACCAAATCATAGAATATGTTTAAATGGGATTTTACTTCCCAAACAATTTTGCCTGTAAAACGGTTTTGTTTACTTATTTTGCTGTGGCTGCGTACTGTGTTGACTCTTCTCATCAGCTATAGTATGTTTCCTTCCTATAAATTACTGATATGCATTTGCCTCTGTACTTCTTGTTTGCTTACTTATAGAAAGGCAAAGGCAATCAGCATTGTCATCGTTACTTTGGGTTGGTAGCTAATTACCAGCTTCTATTTGGTTCAGTTTGCTGCAATCAGAAATCATAGATCGGCGGGGACAGTATCTTGGCTCCTGGGAAATCATATGCATGATCCTGGACAAACAGTAAAATTGTGAAAAGTAGTTCAAAAATTCCGAACATACATGTCCGTATCTTGATAAAATTACATCTACGGTAACTGAACTTGTCTCTAGGGTTTAGTTTGGTCACTGCATTCACGAAACATGAAGTTACGGTCACTGGACTCGCTGAACCGGGTTAGTGTATGGTAACTCGTATCATTTCGGCTCGTATTTTGCACACGTGGACGTATTTGACCCAGAAAACAGTTTGACTCGCCACCTGTACTTCCTCCGGTCCTTTTTACTCTGCATATTAGGTTTGTCCGAAGTCAATCATATCCAACTTTGACTAAGTTTATATAAAAAATTATAGACATTCACATAACAACACCAATATCATTAGTTTCATCTTGGAATATATTTTCATATTATATTTATTAGACATTATAGATGCTAAATTTGGTCAAACTTAGCAAAGTTTGACTTTCGGCAAATCCAATGTGCAGAGTAAAAAGGACCGGAGGGAGTACATGACACGTCCATTTCATAAAGAAGTGAGCGTGGACGTATTTAACCCAAAAAACGGTTTGACTCGCCACCTGTACAGGACACGTCCATTTCATAAAGAAGCGAGCGACCACTTTCCTAAAAAAAAGAAGCGAGCGACCACGGCGCAGTTTTGCATATTTCCCCCTGCCCATTCGGGACGGCTCGGCTTCTCCCCAGAATTCATATCGCCGTCTAAGGAAAGAAAGGGGAGGCGATCGTGGGAGGTGATCGGCTAGGTTTCGTCACCGCTGACGGAGCCATACGCCGATGGAGCGACGACGGCCCGCGGGTTCGCTGACGAAGCGAGCTAAACCATGGTGCCTCGTCGCCGCGCGGAGGGAGACCCACCCCCTGTCTACAATAAGCATCTCTGAAACTCTGAAACCCTCTATAAAACCCCCAACCCTTCTCTCTGAAAGTCGTTAATCTCGCGGTTTAGATGGTGCACACTTGTATTTCCTTTTAGATAGTTGATATTATTGCTAGTGTTTGTTCTAGGGCTTTTGTTCTGCTAGCGATTTTTGCTTGTTAACCTAGTCATTAATATCGTTCTGTTCATGTGCAGAAACAATCGACTATGCATCAAATTTCAGTCTTTGCATCAATTTCAATGGTTATTTCCTTGGAGTTGGTAAAAATCATGCATATGTGAACAGAAAAAGCATATGGTATGATTATGTTGAGGGGGATGCACTGACTGTGGATAAGTTGAAAGATTTAGTAGAACAAGTGGATATGAAGTTCAGGGAAGACTACACATGTATTACTGTGCCTGGGAAACCAATGAACGAAGGAGGCCTTGTGAAGATAACTTGCAATGACAGTTGTTTGAACATGAGGGCACATGTGACATTTGGACATTAGTACCTGCAGATGTATCCTGTACAGGTGGCGCTCACTTCTTTATGAAATGGACGATGTGTCCTGTACAGGTGGCGAGTCAAATCGTTTTTTGGGTCAAATATATCCACGTGTGCAAAATACGAGCTGAAACGGTAGGATTTACCGTACGCTGACCCGGTTCAGCGAGTCTAATGACCGTAACTTTATGCTTAGTGAATACAGTGACCAAACAGAACCCTAGAGACAACTTCAGTTACTGTAGATGTAATTTTCTCCCGTGTCTTCTATGAAATGGCATATATTGTGATCTGAAAAAGACATCAGTAATATTTGACAAGCCAGTATTCTTTTGACAGGTACTCCAACGTATGAGCGATGAAACAAATGTTGGAGATAAATGAAGAACAAACACCAATGCAGGTAAATGGCCACATCTCACATAGCTCGAGGCCATTGTGGCCAAGGCAACCATGGCATGTCACGCAAGTTTCAAGTAACCTCATCTAGAAGCAAAAGTTTCAAGTAACCATGCTGCCTGCAGTGGCACTGCAGAAGCGCAGACTATGCCATCATGCATGCATGTGTATAGCTGAAGCTGGCAACAGAAATGCAGGTGCTGCACTGATGGACAAGGTTTCTGAGGAACATTCATGTGATTTTTAGGGCATGCGAAAGCTGATGATAACATGCAGATTATGGTGAAAATCAAAAATACAAATGACCTAGGAAACAACGGCATCTTAGATGCATTTCAATCGCTGGTCTGAGATCTCAAGGAACGAAAAACATTATGCCTTCTATCTCGTTAAGTCGGCAGAATCTGAAGAATGATTCCTATTAGACGTATGATAGGAAGTGTTTCCCTACTAGTAACCTCTTTTTCATTGTTAGAGGTGTGACTAGTCGTCTAGTCTACCGCTACCCTAAAATGGGCCTAGCTCTCGCGGTGGTCCTCATCCGGGTCGTGGTGGCCACCGAGGGGCATGTTTACGCCGTCAATGATGGCGAAGCTACAGCATTGCCGTGTGAGACATGCAACACAGGCATACACACATGTGGCTCCAAAACGATCTGTGCCAGCTTCACTTGACCGCTGGAGCTGACCGTAACTTTCACTCTCCATCAAACATGGAAGGTTCCAGTTCAAAAAAAAAACATGGAAGGTTCTGAAGACTATTCCATGACAAGTACTAGATGCTCAGTCTTTTTCTCCTTCAGATGTTTTTTTTAGAAAAGGAGGATGACCCCCGGCCTCTGCCATCTTCCACAGGTCTTCAGATCATATTGAGGCTTCTACCTTGTCTGGCCACTCTGCCATCGACGTCACCATGACGCCGGACAGCAACCTCCTCCTGCGCGAGCCCATCTTCGCACGTCGGACGGCGAGTCTCCACAGCGCCATGCCATCGATCTCCGCCGCCATCAAAGTTTGGGATGAAACACCGCTCCACCATCCCTCCAGCCATCACTTGCTCCAAGACGATGCCCCCAGAAGGGAAAGCGATAGAACGCCATCATCATCCGATCTAGAAGACCCAGATCTGGGGTTTCCCCCTGAGCACCCCGAACCTGATGGCGCAGACTGCCAACGATGCCTCGACCATCGGCAGTAGCTCCACCAGACGAGCGTTGCCTACGTCGCCGCAGCCTCCAAGATGAAGCTGACCAGAATGCATGTGTCGACACCGAACCGCCGCCACTTCCACCGCCGCTTGAGCAGCCCCCGAGCAATGCCTTCAGGAAGGAGCACGCCACCGTGGTGTCGTCGTCGCTTGGAACAGGGGGGGCTGAGGTTTTCACCTGAACTCCTGGGAGGGATGGAAGGAAGGAGATCCTCTCCGCAGCCTCCAACGAGGGAAGCAACACCCAAAGGCACTGCCATTGGAGTGGCCGCCACGCCGGCCAAGAGATTCCCCCGGAACCCTTCCAGCCACCGGATCTGCAAGGCCAGCACCCAAGAACGGTGACCGAAGCCACCAAGGGCCGGATCCGCTACAGATCGGAGTAGATCGGGGTCGAGGACGAACATCACCATGGCCACCAACATCCAGTGAGGAACCGCCGCCGCAGCCGAAACCCACCACCTCCCCGCCATGGACACAGCTACCCTACTGACAGATACAGGCTATTTAAAGTGCTGCTACAAGCGCAGCACAGTACCAGAGCCAATTCCTAGCATAGCCATGGAGCCACCCTTGTCTTCCAAAATGTTTGCCTCTCTCACCATAATACTGATGATGGCTACCTCCGTCGCCCTTGTCTCGGCCGCCTCGCTTGAAAAACAAGCAGGAGCACTCCTTGCCTGGAAAGCCACCCTCAGCAACCATAGCCAAGTCTCCCTGGAATCATGGGGAAACATGTCGTCAGCGCCTTGTAGTTGGGGTGGAATCCGGTGCGCTGCACTGACAACACGACGACAGCGGCATCGGGGCCGGCCGGTGATCACCGGTGTCTCTCTACGGGGATTGAAGCTAAGAGGGTCGCTGGAGTCCATGGACTTCTCGGCCTTGAGTACCTTGGCGACCCTCGACCTCTCGCACAACCAGCTCTCTGGGAGCATTCCTTCAAGCATAGAGCATCTTAGAGAGCTCCATGCTCTACTTCTGCACGGCAATCAGATAAGAGGCTCGATTCCACCTGCTTTAGCAAACCTCACAAAACTAACAACCCTGCGTCTTTCCAACAGTGAGCTTGTTGGGTCAGTTCCTCGAGAAATTGGGAGTTTAGGGATGCTGAAAGAGCTCAATATTAGTGTAAACCAACTTGAAGATTATATTCCAACTAGTATAGGAAATTTAACACAACTAACAACGCTTCATCTTCATAGTAACAAATTCATCGGATCCATTCCTCGGGAAATAAGAAATTTGGTAAACCTGGAGGATTTGATACTCGGATTGAACAAACTTACAGGATCCATACCAGTATACTTGGGAAATTTGACTAAATTCACGACTTTGCTTCTCTGGGGTAACGACTTGTCTGGCCACATTCCTCAAGAACTAGGTCATTTGATAAACTTAGAGAACTTGTCGCTTTCTTACAACAAACTAACAGGCCAAATTCCTCCAGAACTAGGTCGTTTGATAAACTTAAAGAAATTGGGGCTTGGTGAAAACAAACTAACAGGTCCCTTCCCAAACAATCTATGGAATTTAACCAAACTCACTATATTATACTTTGGTAATAACCAACTTTCTGGCCACATCCCACCAGAGCTAGGTCGTATGATAAACTTAGAGATCTTGTTTCTTGGTGAAAACACATTAACAGGTCCCCTTCCAAACAATCTATGTAACTTGACCAAACTCACTATATTAGAGCTTTTTAGTAACCAACTTTCTGGACACATCCCTCGAGAGATAGGTCGTTTGATGAACTTAGAGATCTTGAACCTTAGTTACAACACATTAACAGGTCCCATCCCAAATAGCATAGGGAATTTGACTAAGGTCACTGTCATAGATTTAATGTTCAACCAACTTTCTAGACACATTCCTCCAGAAATTGGCAGGTTAACGAGATTGGCTAGGTTCCAAGCTTCCATTAACAATCTCTCTGGTGACTTGCCATCGGGTATTTGTGGGAGAGGCCAGCTGCAGTATTTCACCGTCAGTGGCAACAACTTGGTTGGTCCCTTTCCTACAAGCTTGCTAAGCTGCAGAAGCCTAGTGGGAGTTCGCCTTGAGGGAAATCAGCTGGAAGGAGATATTTCTGAGATGGGAGTTCACCCGAATCTTGTATATATTGATATCAGTTCAAATAGACTATTTGGTCAACTTTCTGATGGTTGGGGTGAGTGCCGCAACCTTACCACGTTGCGTGCCTCAAACAACAATATCACTGGATTCATACCACAAAGCATAGGGCAATTATCACGGTTGCAGATACTTGATGTTTCCTCAAATAAACTTGAAGGACAAATCCCACCAGAAATTGATGGTCTATCGGCATTGTTCAATCTGAGCCTTGGTAATAACTTGCTTCAAGGAGGTATACCACAGGAAATTGGAACATTAAAAGAATTGGAGTATCTGGATTTATCATCAAACAACTTGAGTGGGTCGATACACGGGTCCATTGAGCATTGCTCCAAGCTTCGCACTCTGAAGTTGAGCCATAATCACCTCAACGGCAGCATTCCTATCGAACTAGGGATGTTGGTAAACCTACAAGATTTGTTTGATCTAAGTGACAATTCATTCGAAGGCAAGATACCGAGTCAGCTAGGCAGCCTAAGCATGCTCGAGAACTTGAATCTTTCAAACAATGCATTGAACGGCAGCATTCCATCATCATTTCAGAGCCTAATCAGCCTCTTATCCATGGATGTGTCATACAACAAACTGGAAGGGCCGGTTCCACGAAGTGTGTTCTTTGAAGATGCTCCAACTGAATGGTTTTTGCACAATAATCAACTCTGTGGTGTAGTTAAAGGTTTGCCCTCTTGTGAAATTACTCAAAGTCATGGACAACATAAGAATTACAAAGTTGTTTTACTAGCTATAATTCCTGCTCCAATAACTCTTGTGCTCATCACCACAGTAGTAACCCTATTGAGATATAAAAGGAAGAAATATAGCGCAGAAAGTGGTAATGACTTGGAGCAGACAAAGTTGTTCACCATCTGGAACTTTGATGGACAAGATCTGTACAAGAAAATTGTTGACTCCATGGAGAATTTCGGTGATAGTCACTGCATTGGAACTGGAGGTAGTGGGTCAGTGTATAGAGCTGAGTTACCTAGTGGTGAAATATTTGCGGTGAAGAAGATCCATCTGATGGAAGATGATGAGTCATTTGATCATGAAATAGATGCATTGATTCATATTCGGCATCGAAACATTGTGAAGTTATTTGGCTACTGTTCTACACCTCAGGGAAGATTTCTGGTGTACGAATACATGGACAGAGGAAGCTTAGCAGAATCTTTAAAGAACAAGGAAAGTATAGCTGAATTGGATTGGATAAGAAGGTTAAATATAATCAATGATGTTTCTCATGCTTTATCTTACATGCATCATGATTGCTTTGCACCGATAGTCCACAGAGACATATCAAGCAGCAACATTTTGCTTGATCTGGAATTCAGAGCATGCATCTCTGATTTTGGTATAGCCAAATTACCATCTGCGGATGATTCAAACTGCACAAGGCTTGCTGGGACAAAAGGGTATCTTGCCCCAGGTAAAATGAACTCTATTTCTGTTAGATCTGTGTGTTGTTATGCTTTCTTTCTCGTCTGATCAAATATGAAATTTGTATGTTTATTCTGCTAAGGGTGCCAAGCAGTAGCGAATAACATACTAATTTGTACAAATATCCTTTTTTTTGTTTAATCAGTTATTCTATCATAGTTTTGTTTATCAACTACACTTTGTTTGTCTCTACTCTCTAGTCTGTACAATCTACATTGCCAACAGTGATTGAGCCGATATGTTTAGCAGTTGGGTAATAATAGACCATTGTTGTCTGGTCCTCTAGATTCAGTTTCTTGAAGTGTCTGAGAAATCTAACCTTTCAATATTGGTGTGGCAGAGCTTGCATACTCAACAAGGGTGACAGAGAAATGCGACATCTATAGTTTTGGAGTGCTCACGCTCGAGTTGTTCATGGGACACCATCCAGGTGATTTTCTTTCATCCATGCCCGATAAGAGTACATCACTCAAGGATTTGTTGGACATCCGGATCCCACTCCCTGCAGCTGAGGTCCGAAGCAAAGTATTCAAAGTGATCGCGTTTGCTGTTCGGTGCATAGAACCCAATCCATCACGCCGTCCAACAATGCAGCAAGCAATCAAGGTGTTCACTGCAGCTGGAGGACCTGATAATCATGTTGATCATCTGCATACTGGCATTGTTATCCCTGCCTGCTGGTCGTGAATGTTCTTAGCAAATTGATGTTTTATGCGTCGATTAGACACTGTTTGTAATAAATCTTCGGTACGACAGTTTATTGCATCATTAGCTTCGCGCCACGTACTATTTATGTTGGTTGTAAGCGATGGAGAATAACCAGCTAGTAGCTACCTTTAAATTTTTGCATAGCAGGGCCCCTGCTATGTCTTCAAGGCAATACTAATATTTCATTTTCATCCTTTGTTGGAGGATGTAGGAGCCCATTCAACTGGTAATTTCATATGCCCGAGTTATATTGGCGTGCTGATTTCTTTTAGATCCTTTAGTATGTTGCCGTTTAAAACTGTTACAAATATTTAGCCTTCAACTGGTACAGGGCAGGGGATAGAAATGGTATAAAGCACGCAGTAGCCATCAGAATGCTTCTGCAAGGCATATAGTAGTTCTCAACAAAGGAAAGCTACTTGTAACAGGACAAAATGTGGATCACTGTTTTTTTCTTCTGAAAAGAGGCAAATTAAGCAGCCCCCAAGCCCCCTTCAACTACTTCTACTTTTGAAAAAAGCAGTACGGTCGCACACACACTGGTACGAACGCACTCATCCTTAATTGATTGGCCTGCAGGTTCTGAACAATTTATAGAAAAGCACTCTGCTGCCAGTTGACTAGTTAGGCATAATATATTGCATTATCCATCGGAAGTGATCTCAGCTTGGTAAATTGTGCTTGTGTAGCTTACCTCTCATCCTTAACTGATTTTCCTGGTAACTTGATTTTTTGATAATGGAAATATATTAATATCAAGCGGATATCAATTACACCCGGCCTCTGCAAAAGAAAAAAGAAAAGAAAAACGCCAAACGGATCAGCGAAGTAGGAGGAACTACCACCACCAGAGACCCCACAAGGACTGCAAAAAAGGTTCTCCAAGAACGACGCCTCCAAGAAGGAAACCGTGCACCAACACAGTCGTCGCCTGATCACAGATCATGGGTTTTCACCCTGAAGAAAGTCTGACTGAACTCCAAGCAATGCCTTCAACAAGGAGACGAATAGAGATCCGCCATTGCCAAGTACAACCAGTGAAGGTCAGACCAAGGGTTTTCACCCCGGAAGTCTGAGACTTTGTGCCCAAAGAGCACCACCAATAAGAAGTCCACATGTGTTGTCGCGCCTGCTAGCCGGTACTCCTGCAAATCGCCGATCATCTGGTCCACAATCTTCACCACAACCAAACTCGCCTCCGTCGTCATTTGAAATCTCGAACTCCACATGAGCCATCAAGATCCACTGGTCATTTGATCCGGCACATCCATCTTGAGATTCCCCATCATTGTTAGCACCACGGTAATTGCCGGTAAATATGCCTTGGCGTACCTCAATGGTGCCGACAAATCAGAGTGTGATAGGTCCACAAGAATGACCGAGGACAGCGACAGAAAATTAGGCCGATTGCTGGTGCGGAGATCCGGTCAAGGAGCTTAGCCTCACCAACCCCGCAAAGCAAACCTGCCATGTAATGTCCGTCCTGAGCCTGTTGTTGGGGACGATCACTCTTGGCACCCGACGGTCCATGTGTCGTGGCAGCTGATTGCCGGCAACTCCATGGACACCTCTGGCACCCACGAACTCACTCCGGTCGCAACTCTGCGTCGCGTGGACCAGACGTATGTCCGCGAGTGGCTCATCACCCGGTGGTCCATGTGCTGCGACGGCAGATTGCCGGCGACACCACGGACTCCACATAACCCATGAACTCTGTCCAGTCGTAACATGGCGTCGCGTGGACCAGACCCGCGTCCACGAGCGGCTGCCGGTGCTCTGATGATCTGACCGCCACCATCTTGTGTTGTCGGCCTCACGATCCGGCAGCCGCCGTCCTGTGTCATTGTCCCCACGATCTGGCTGCCGCATTACTGCGTCATGGCCTTCCGATTTGGCAGGTCACCGGCCTTCCGATCTGGACGTCGGAGTTGGATGCACGTCTAGAGCAGCAAGCCACCAACGATTTGCATGGAGGTCTAATGCATCCTTCCCCATGTACATGCATACAGGCGCTGGGGTATGATTGTGCCCGCAGACTTGATCTGGCCGCCGGCTGAAGCGCAAGCCTAGATCAGATCTGAGACGATTGGTTCAGTGAAGAGTGTCCAGGCAGTAGCGCCCCGCCGCCGCCGTCCGCCGTGGCACGACCTCCTCCGGCGGCGGCAGGGGGAGGAAGGTCAGCGAGGGGTGGCCGGCGGCTAGGGCGGTAGGGTCCCCCGAGTCGCCCGGCACGGACGATGCGAGGGCTGGGAGGACAATAATTTACTTATCCTGGTAACTTGATGGTGTTAGAAATGGTGGAGGATGCTTTGTTTCCTGTTGATGTTACATGGTATCTGAGAATGATTACCTTTTTTATATGTAACAGGAAGGAGAAATCCAAACTCCAGGATAAGGAAACGAGTCTGAAAAAGCAGATGCCAAGGGCAGCAAAGCTGAGCAGAAGGCCAAGAAAAAAGCAGGTCCAGGAAGAGATATCACGCCTCTCAGCTGAATTAGAGGCGAACCATGCTGCGGAGCTTGCTTCTTTCGGAAAAAAGCCGACGTTTGAGGGGCTTTTCTTAATTCATACTACCTCTGTTTGTTTTTATAACACGTTTTAGACTTTCAGACACTGTTCAAAAACAGCACAAAGCAAGTTGTCTGAACGCCTTATAAAAACAAACGGAGGGAGTACTATACTTCCTCCGTTCATATTTTCAATATGGACTATATACTGATTGAAATGAGTAAACAAATACACTAAAACTTGTCTATATACATCCGATTTAGAAACATATTATGGAGTAAAACATCTTATATTTGTGAACGGAGGGAGTACTAACTAATTTTATTAGTATATCCAAAGAGCCTGCAGATTTATTTATGGCTTGGTTGATATGTGATTCAGATGCAGGACTAGCAAATTGCGACATACATTTTCAATTGTAAAAGACCATTCGATTCACTTACCTCGGTTCATATGGCCAACTACATGCATGTTTGTTATACTCCTGTCCTGTCTAATTAGTCATATTTCGAGAACAAAAATATAGACATTTTGGAGAATGAAAAAGGCAAAGCTGGTCAGTCTATTTGATTGAGCTGCTACGTACAGTACATGAGATGAGAGAGACCATCCACTCTACGGGGAAGCCCATATGTCACACCACACACGGATCACACAATCCATATTCTTCTTCCTACACTTGCTCACTGAGAAGAATGTATATGCATAAAATGTGGCTGAAGTGTGTATGCACACACAGTAAAAAATCTGTATATGCAGGAACAACCTAAACACAGTAAAAACACAACATTACTAGGTGTTGCAGGAACCAACAGGAAAACAAATTTACTAGGTTGGCACAAGTGTGTATGCATGCACAGTAATTATTTTGTTATTGGCCACAATCTAAACACAGCATTCTATTAATCTGTCTCTGCATCTTGTACTCCAGAAGGTGGCAACAATCTAAACACCAATGTCTTGTACACCGGAAGGTGGCAACAATCTAAACACCGATGGACAAGTTCTCCGAGAAACATTGATGTGATTTTTCAGGCATGCGGAAGCTGATGATAGCATGCAGATCATGGTAAAAAGTAAAAATACAAATGACCTAGGAAGCAGTGGCATCTTGGATGCATTTCAATCACTGGTCTGAGATCTCAAGGAATCAAAAAACATTATGCCTTCTATCTATAAAGAGCTTAACTCAGCACATCACACACGACGATAACAATGGCAGCAAGTATAAACATCAGCTTTTAAACCACGATCTATGAAATTCATGCATTCTTGTCGAAACAAAGTATGTAGAATCCAAATAAGGAGCAGGCTGAAGTATGTAGGCATGGAACATATAGGTATCTTACACTTACAGTACCACCCAAAAGACGACTCCACGCACAAAAGGATAATATCAGTCAAATCTCTCCCCATTCTAGATCAAACACACACAGGGAAACCCACCAACGAAGTTAATCAACAATGGCCAGCTTATGTCTCGGTCCCGTCGAGTGGCTGCTGGGCTTAAGCCTGAAGGTGAGAGAACCTGAGGACACTCCGATCTAGCAGAAGTAGGCAGCAGCTCATCATACCACAAAACTAGACACTGAGAAGTAGAGTCTGTTGCGTCAAACCGGTGGGACAGGAGGCCGCCTAGAGTCCGCAGGAAGCACTAAAACTCTCATCGAGAAGAGCCAGAATATCACTGTGGCGAGCGTCGCGGCGAATACTCTGACCAATAGAAACCACAGCCAGGTTCCGGATATCCTGCATCTGTCTCTGCATCTGCTCAAGGATAGCCGTCTGGCGATCAATCTGTCTCTGCAGCATGGGAGGAACGTCATAGATATGACCAGCCAAGCCTCCTGCCTCTGCGAAATGACCACCCGACCCTCCTGGCTCTGCGTCATGAGCTCCCTGCTGGCCAGATCTGAACTCATCAGGAACTGGGGGTGGCGCCATATGTTGGCCAGGATCTGTGTCAGCTTCCCCATTAGTGGTGTCCCCAAGAGCTTGCTCCTGTATGCTCGGGATAAGTGTTTGGTCCAACTCTACATGCTCATGATCATCAAATCCAGCTTCCATCTGGGCTGGAAGTGACCTGGTCACGAGCCTCCTCTTGTCATCGGGCTTTGGAGCCTTGTACGACTTGTCATGCTGAAGTGCCCTATTCTTGAGCCTCCTCTTGTCATCGGGCCCCGGAGCTTTGTATGGCTTGAGGTGCTGATCCAAAGTCTTTTTCATGCCATCCTCAAGCCACCCTTTCTTGTCAAACAAAGTGAATGAGATACGGGGCATAGGGCAGCCGACGTTTGATTTTCAGAATAGTGTCCTGCATCTCTGCAATCATCAAATCTACTATGTCAACACGCTTTCCTGACCTCAACAAGTGCAGAAGCCAAATCTCAACTGTAGATAGGGACTCGCGGCCTCCAATTCTAGGACGGATCGTCACCCTCACAACTGTGTTTACAACAGCTGCTTCATG